AAAAAAAAATTACGCCCTGAATTTTTACACCAGATTACAAAACTAGTCAAGAAAATTGATATCAGAATTCAATTTTTCTTTCGTCGAAAACATCAATACGCTCTATTTTTTTCCGCAAATTCAAAGCTGTTATAATCCTATTTGACACAGTAATGACCAAAGAACGTCATAAAAGGCATGTTTTCTTTCTGTATTCACGATTTTGCATTTTAAGGACACGAAAGTCTTAAAAACGAGAAACAGCAGCGTTCGACTTAATACATATCACTGACATCTCGAAACGCCTAAAGCCTTACAAACCGTTTCTGTCGGGAAAATCATGAGCTGGTCACTTTCGTAGGAGACGAAACAAACGTTAGAACTGCCAGCAGACTGACTACTAGGCGATACAGCATTGGTCGAAGCAGCTGGAAAAGCTGCAGCTGCATAACAGGGGAATAATGCTGCGAGCTGCAACTAAGCAAATTATCGAATTTAGCAACTACAGATGCGGAAAATACCATATCAATGGATGCGAAGAGAATGGAATAGGAGTGCCAACGATTATCGCACACTTCTGGGATGCTCCACCGCCACTCGGCTGCACGAAATGCTGCTTCGGCATTGCTCTCACGGCGCATCAACATCTCTAGCTTACAGTGCCGCGTATAAATCGCAAAGTGGTGACGGTTCATGTCTAAAATTTAATTTAGTTTCACAATCAGAAGTCTCGCTGGTACGATCACGCATTTTTACATGATTTCATCCAGCAGAAAGACTGCCTATATTACGAGATGCAACTGTCACGTTGCAGTTTGAAAATCTGATGCACCTGTACGCAACGATTTTACCTAGACAAAAGCTCGTCATACGCTTATTAGCCTATGCACGAGCAATAAAAGTACTCAAAAATACTCGGGAAAATACTGCTTCCCACTCAACCTGGTTATTGGGTTAATTGACTTAAACACTGTTTAGAGCTAAATATTCACTTTGGGGGCATGCGAAACCTAGGCGTATATTAAAGCTGAATTTGAAATATTTAAGACACACATCGGCATAAGACAGTAACATAAAGTTTCAGCTTTCTAGCTTGACTAGTTGAATGAAAGGACTTTTTGTTACATATATCGTGTCCGAACGCGCAAGCGCACGCTAAAGAACATTTATGCCCACTTCCTCACGCATGGAAGACAAATATTTCCGTAAAGAGTGCTTCAACCAGTTTTGTTCCCGAACTGGCACTTTGCAAGCGATTACGGAATCTAAACTCTGATATATCTGTATGCGTAGTGTAGGCACACTTTAAAGGTGAATTTGAAATTTTTAGCTTACTCAAGAATATAGAATATCCCTAGGAAATTTCAGTTTACTGTCTTGTCTGGTTCTCGAAATTGCTTCCCCCAAAAAATTTGGATGTCTTTTGGGCGTCCGTAAATAAGACCCAAATGAACGTGAATGTTGATTTTAACCTTTTTAGATAGCACGTGAGCTAGGAATATCTTTGTAAAATCTCAGCTTCCTGGCTTCTGCACTTGCTAAGTTGAATGTAGGTGACAGGTGTCTGAGCACACACAAACACATGCGCCCATCCACTCACACACACGCACACCGAGAAACTCTCGATAATATTCGTTTTTGCATCTGCATGAAGATGCAAAGGTGCATTAAAAAACCACGAAATGAGACCAAAAATGGCAATTCATCGCTATTTTAGGTCCAATTAACCACATTCCTTCACTTCTCTCTATGCTTTCGCTTTGTATTTATAACAAGTCAAGGCAAATGTAATACAGCACTGGAACGAAGTAAATTTGATTAATGCATACTCGAGTAATCGCTTTCACAGAGGATCGTTTGCTTGAGGCCTTGCTCCTCCTTTGTACCGCGTGCGTGTTTCATCGAGAATGTGAGCGTGAATTTTAATGGGATTACACCATCCACTTTTTCTGCTGGCACAATTACTGAACTCGATTTGCCGTTAAATGCGTATTTATCCGGTATAACCTTGTTATCGTTAGCCTCCTCATCAGTTGCTGTCAGCAGTGCAATTGTGGATTCGTCCATGCCGCATCTGTTACACATTTTTCATAAATTTTGTGGTTAATTAGGCATTCCGTGCAGAGTTTCTTCCATCTCAGAAAACTCAAGGACTTACTTGTTCTGCACAGCTTCCAGAACGAAATCGTCGCGATCACATCCGTTTGCTAAATGATCAGTTTGCAGTGTTAGCACACTTTTCACACTTTCCACAGTGCACGACTGTGCTTCCGCACAGGTTTTAATGTGCGCATCTGGTGCAATTCGGACAGATCCAGAATCAGGCATGTAGGAGATACGTTCCGAAATGCCGCGAATACCATCTACACAAGCTTCACGGACGTTAACTGTGACAAGAACCGATTTCGACTGGCGCATACCGCAGTCATGAGCAACCACTGTCAAGATGTATGACCTAGCTTGGGTGTAATTCAGCGGTCGAGTATTGCGCAGAACACCCTAGAAAGAACAGAAACACTTGGTGGCGAGAAAAGAAAAAGCCCAGGTTATTAAGTCCTAGGTGCCTGTGAATCATCACAAAAAGAGTAGCTCAAATTTACTTATTTATTTGATATACTTGGGCTCATCATTATCATGTCGTCGCATACATTACAGGTGAAAGTGTTGAAGAAATCTGAAGGAAATGCTATGCAATAATGACACTTAAAATATAAGAAAAAAATAAGTGAGGTCAAAACCTTCCGCACTCGAACTTTTTGAGAGACGGAGGCACTTGGGAGTATTTTGGGGATGGCAAGTGCCAATAGCAACCAC